TATTACCATAGCAACCTTGTTTCTTTGCTGTTATTGGCTTGTAATGTTTGTCCCTACTTCGCATGACAATTTTTTCGAATTGATTAGACCCCTAAATGAACTAGCTTATTAATGAATTTAATAGCCTATAGCGTGTCGTAAGAGGAAGGATTTTTACTAAAATATCTGTTCAAAAATATGTTATGTATTATTAGGCAACTTATTTAATTGATATTGTCGCTTTTAACTCAGAGCAATACTTCTCGTCAAGACTCAAGTTACGCGCCAATCTATCCATACTTCTAGTGACATTGACAGCTGTCAGCTAGGGACGTGACGTTTATGCCGATAATCTAGAGTTGCGCCAATTCTATAGCACGGTACTAATTTTATTCCTAACAGTACGTGGAACATAATCTGGCACATAGGCTACTTTTGTTTTCACGCCGACGCAGTCGCGGACAGGTTTTAGTTTAAATTGATTTTTTTTTAAATAAAATATATTTGTTGCAGGAAGGTGAAGATTTCACAGTGGTGCCAAACAGTGAAATAGTCGTGTCTCGAACAGCGTTTAAAGATAATTCCTCGCATTATACTCTGAATGGCCGCAGGGTGCAGTTTAAAGAAGTGGCAAAAATGTTGCGCTCGCACGGAATTGATTTGGACCATAATCGATTTTTAATATTACAGGTATGACTAAAGACATTTAAAAAATGTATAGACGAGGCATACTGAACAAAATTTTTTCACCGGTACTTTCTCTGAAAGGTACTATGTCAAGTTTAGGACCCTAAATTATGTCTTTGAGTGTGTCTGTGCATGTAATAAAACAAAATTATAACAAGGTCCATTTTATGTAATGGAATAAACTGTACAGTGTTATAAAATAAAAATAAATGTGATTTGTGAAAAATATTTCAAGCGTAGTGTTAACTATGCCTCCTCCATATATTTTTGAATCTCTTTGGTTTACTTACGTTATTTATCAAGGTCCTAAACAAGTGAACCAACAAGAGAAGTTAGGAGTTTGCTGTCCCTTTCTACCATTGTCTTTATGTATAGGTAACAGTGAGAAGGAAGATATTATAGAATTTTTCCACTAATTGTAGGAATTTTCGTGGAATGATTTTCACTTTTTTTTTGTTTTAAACATTTGATTTGAATTGTTCAGGGCGAAGTTGAGCAGATCGCAATGATGAAACCCAAAGGCCAATCGGAACATGAGTCCGGTATGTTAGAGTATTTAGAAGACATCATTGGCACTTCACGGTATAAGGTTAGTGAAAATCTTGTATTAAAACAACCTGGCTCGTGATTTCTTCCGTGTAAAATTAAAAAAAAAGTAAATACATAGCTCATGTCACTAAGTGATTTTTGTAATCTGCCCAGTAGTTTTTTCGTATAATACAATAAATAGATCTTACTAAATTTACATATTCTAAGGTTTAGATGGATGGATTTATGTGAATTCACATATCTCTAGAATTTACAGTCTAGAAGAAAACATAGGCTATTAATTAACTTTTTATTTAAATCCGCACTGGCGATGTCGCGGGCGATAGCTAGTATTTGTACAAATCAAGGAATTAAATTACCGTCCCACTTAAGATCTAATAAACAGCAAACTGTCACTAATATAGCGTATTATTACACTTAAATGTGACAAGTTTTTTATCAAATAAGCGACAAATTCACCCAAATGGGTGGGAAATAAACCTTCTTGATTATATTTAAAACTAACTTTCGCCTGCGACTCCGTCCTCGTGGAATTAAAAGAAACAAAAGCAAGTAGACTATGTGTTCTTCCAGACTATCCTCTACATGCCATCCTCTATGCCAAATTCGCAATTATAATATTAGTATGATATTTGTATAGGAACCTATAGAACAGTTATCGATGAAAGTGGAAGAATACAGTGAGATGAGGAAAGAGAAGTTGAACAGAGTAAGATTGGTTGAAGCTGAGAAGTTGAAGTTGGAGCAGCCGATGAAAGAAGCTGTTGAACAGATGATGTTGACGAATACGGTACATCGGACGAGGAATATGTTGTTGCAGAAGTATATGTAAGTATAAAATACTGAAACGACATTTAAAGATGTAACATTAAACCACATTTAAACTCCAAATTCCTTACATTTTTTGACGTCTCTTGTAAGGTTACGAAGCAAAGTATTTCGTTTCAGTATTTGGCCGTATCTGCCAGATGTTTTTAAATATTTACTTGCTAGTTTTGTTGATTCTCATACAAACTACTCTGAGCATCTCTTGATTGTCATTTATCAATTCTCATACTTACACTTATGATATAAATTAAGATATGACGGAAGATAAATTTACCTAGAGGGCGCAAACGATAAATAAATAAAAAGATTTTTATTATTGTCACAAAAACAGTTTCTTATGAGCTAAGTAAAAAAAATCAATCGACAACAATGGGCTGCAGACTCAACGTGGACATGACCTAAGGCATGCGAGGTTAACGATTTCACAATTTCGTTTATTTCGATTCTATATAAGTTTATTTCGTTTTCAGACACGAAACGAATAAAATAATCGACGCCAAGAAGAAGGATTTGGATGAACTGAAGGAAAAATTAGCAGCGATAGATGCTAAATTAACTCAGGTGAAAAGTTTACTGGAAGAAAAAGGGAATGTTTATCAAACTGGAATGCAGTAAGTATACATTTTATATTAAGTGGATTTGACGGAGGACGCATTGTGATCAGCACCTCACAAATTCATCAGTTTTGTGAAATATGTTTTTTCATAATAAATACATTATAATTCTATAATATACTCTCTGTTCTTCTGCCTCTTTATCTGCTTGAAATCATAAAAAAACTACATTTTACTGTTAATATTTATAAAATAGTCTATCGCAAATGTCAAAATTCAAATACAGGACAATGGCCTTTGCCATTGGAGCTCGGAGTTTTTGTCCCTTTCTCGCATGAAATTTTTCCAAATTATTTACCCCCTAAGTTTAGTAGCGTGAAAATTTGTAGCCTAAAGCCTGTCGTAAGTGAATGGCTTATTAAAAAAATGTAATTCAAAAATGTACTGCGATTGCTGACATCCTACATGACTAAGTAGTGTATGTTTATGCTTTAGTATATTTGTATGGTTATATGTATAATAGATAAATAAATATAGCCATTATCGTTGCTCTTTCACAAAACAGATACTACAAAGGACACTATTTAATACCAAGTGTTTGATTAACCTAAATATAAACTTTCAACAGAAAATACAATAAAATGCAAACCAAAAAGGACGAGCTGACAGAGAAACTGCAGAGTTGTAAGAAGAAGACGGTGTCCGTGCAAGCAGACCTGTCACAGGCCAACAAGAAAAGGAAGAATCTAGAACAACTGCTAGAGACGGAGAAAGGAAAACTTATCGAATTAGAATTGGTTAGAATTTCATGTAATCATTTTTAAGCCTCCCCTTTGTAATTTTCTCTAACGAATTGAGAAACATTATTTCCGTATCAAATAAGCTTATTTACAATCAAAGAGTTTTAAAATAGATAGAGTAGTCATAGTTAGTATTTCACTTGAAACATTTTTCACATGATAAAAACCACATGTCAATATGATTATTTGTATTTAAAACTAGTAATAGACAATATGCAGACGCCAAATTGCATCAAACTTTTTTAAGTATACTTTATTAATATCAAAACATTCCTGCAAAGATTTTTTTTTAATATAATGTGATTTAGTGGCAATTTTGACTTTTTGACCTTGAGAAGCTTTGTTGTTTTTTACTTCAAAGTGACATCTGTTGTGTCATGTTATCATGTTATGAATGGGATATGACGATTGACGTCAATTGTCTCATTACAACTCCGGTCGCGTTTTAGTCGCTAGAAAATGGTCGTAATTTTATTTTATTATTTTTAGCTCAATGGTTGAATACTTTCGCGTCAATTTTTTTCTGGTTATTTATAACAAGTAGAATCGTTTTAAAAAAGAAAAAGAATACATGCATATTCCCTATTACATAGTAAAATTGAACACAAATATACTTAAAACAAATAAATAAGTTCGTCTATATATTTTTAAATAACTTTTTACAGTAAATGGTCTTTTATAATTGATGGTTATTTGAAATAGATTCCAGAAAAAAATAAAAAAGAAATAGAAGACTGTGAAGGTTTGCTTGAGAGACATACGGAGAATAAACGATTAGCTGATGAAGAATTAGGACAAGAGATGGCTGGAGTTAGGTATTTAATTTCATTTTTATTGATATGTTAAAAAAATATTAAATACTAGCTTTCGCCCGTGACTCTGTCCGCGCGAAATTAAAAATAAAGTAGCCTATGTCTTTTTCCAAACTATGTTCTTTTGTAACTCTAACAAACATCCATCCATTGAATCTTTCGCATTTATAATATTAGTAAGATTACTTGCGACTTCTACGTGGAATTAAAAATCAGTAAAAAACATAGCCTATGTTACTCAGTGAAAACATAGCTTTTTAACGGTGAAAGAATTTTTAAAATAGGTCCAGTAGTTTTTGAGTTATTTCAAGGTATACCAAAATACAAATCTTTTCTCTTTTTTTTTAAATAAAATATGTTAGTAGATTTTTGTTAATTTACTAATATTTCCTTTAACCATTCCGACTATGCTCTAGGCTTGTGCTAGGATATGGTTCACAATAGTCAAATGTTCAGATTCGAACCCTCGACCGCAAGATCGGTAGTTCGTACCCCAAACCATTAGGCTATTGACGCTTTATAATATAGATAACCTGTTGTTATGAACAAAAAATTAATATTCTGATAGTACAAATTTTTTTTTTAAATATACCGATAAGTTTTTGAGTTTATTTGTTTCCAAACACAAAACTTTTCTATGTATAATATTCTCGACTAAATAAATATTTACAGAGAAAAAACTCGAGAATTCCAAGAGATTAAAGATAGATTACAAGCAAAACTTATCAATCTAAAGAAAATTGTCGATGAATCTACAAATAAGTACAAACTAGCTGAATCCGCGTTACAAATATATTTGAGTACAGAAGAAAAGGAAAATGAGAAATTGCAACGAATGAAAGATGCTTACGAGAAAGCAGTTCAAGACGTACAAGAAAAGGAAACGTAAGTACATAATGGAGTAATATAAATACTAGCTTTCGCCCGCGACTCCGTCGCGTGGGATTAAGTAAAAACAAAACCAAATCAAGTAGCCTATGTGTTCTTCCAGACTATCCTCTACATCTATGTCAAATTTTATCGAGAGCCGTTCAGCCGTTTAGGCTACAAACTCTAACATCCATCTGTCCACCTAAACTTTCGCATTTATAATATTAGTAAAATCTGTATATATGTATATGTACTAAAAAAAAAATTACAATGAAACTATTTGAAGCAGAACCCCACAAGGTTTAAGTGTACCCAAAAGTCAGTTATTTTCTAACATATGAAAAATAATAAAAAATATAGCCTATGTTACAAAAAATCTTTTCAGTGGTAAGATGAAAGAATTTTTGAATTCAGCCCAGCAGTTTCTGAGTTATATAAATACATACAAAATAGAAATATTTCCTTTTTATAATATTAGTATAGATTATTTAAATTTACATGTTACATATTGTTCTTTTAACAAAACCGTTTTAAAATAATTTTATATTTATTTATTTAAATAATAGATATTAAAAAGGTTATAAAATAAGAAGAAACGCGCAGAATGGGATTAAATTGTTAAATTAAATAAAATAATGTACAGTCTAGTAACGTCTAAAACATTTAGGACCTGTCCCACCACTGGCTGATAGAGGCTCAGATAGCTTAAAAATGACGTCACTGTTATAAGGGAACAAAATCCGATATTTCCATCACGTATTATACACGTTGGGTTTACGATTTAGTGGGATTCCTTAAAGAATTAAATGTTTTACAAAGTAAAAAAAAATAAAAAAATGTATATTTCAGATCACTAAATGAATTAACAACATCGGTGCCTGAAAATGAGAGACAATTACGTGATGCAAAGAGAAGATATGAAGAATTAAAAAAAGAGGATACTAAACTTACACAAGAAGCAAGATCTTTAAGGTAATTCTTCCTATGTTTTTATTTCGTTTTAGGTTTTCTTTGTACAGGCTCAGACGTGGAATATAAAATTTCAGACCATTTTACAAAAGATCGAGTTATTTTCTACATTTGTAACAATTTTCCACCCCCCCCCCTTTTGGAGATATATAGTAATAAACATCCATCCATCTAAATTTTTGCATTTATAATATTAAAATGATGACATTAACGCCCCAATACCATTTTTAAGCTTAAAATAAAATAAATATTTGGCAAATGGACTTACAGGATTAGCTGCATGAAGTTTAAATTAAAATTTTAAATAATTTCAGAGCACAATTAGAAGAATCTCGTCAAGCGATGAATGCAAACAGATCTAAAGGTAGAGTTTTAGACTCTTTGATGAATGAAAAAAGAAGTGGCAGGTTGCCCGGGATATTTGGTAGACTGGTGAGTTAGTATATATGAAATGTTTATTACTAATATGTGTTTAACATAATGAAAGTTTATATTATTATTGCCATATATGATTTAAGTTTTTTTTTTGAGATACAAATTATAGATTATTTTAATTTATAGCGTAGGTCCAAATACACCTCCTTGGGGAACTCCATTAGTTTATTTTTGTAAATGCTTCAATATTCTACTATTAGTTTAAAATAAGGTTCTAATTTTAAAGTAATTTTAAATAATTATGTTCTGATTGATATTATTTTAATAATTTCTAACTATCTTTGATAGAAACATGACAACCATATCGAAAGCTTTTGAAAGATCTAAAGATTTCTGTAAAGAAAAATACCATAAAATGTTAATAATTCTCGTCCATATTGTGTATTTTTTTAAATAAGATGTCATTGATTTGTATTTTAAAAACTGCAGTCATGTTTATTTTTTACTGCCTTTCGTCTGCGACTTTGTCCGCGTGGAATTAAAAAAAAACAAAAGTAAAGCCTTTGTATTCTCCCAGATTTTGTTCTTATGTCAAATTTCATCCAGATCCGTTCAGCCGTTAAGGCTACAAACTCTAACAAATATGTATCCATCTAAGCTTTCGCATTTATATTAGTATGATTTTTATATTTTTCAGGGTGACCTAGGTGGTATAGATGCTAAATACGACGTCGCTATATCGACGTGTTGCGGTGCTCTGGACAACATAGTGGTGGACACGGTGGAGACAGCGCAGAGCTGCGTGGAGTTCCTGAAGAAGAATGACATCGGCAGAGCTACGTTCATAGCGCTGGACAAGCAGCAGCACTTGGTACAGGAGTACGAGAGACGGATGACGTAGTGAGTATAGCTGTCGCCTGTACCGAGATAAGGATAGAAAGAGATAGAAGTGGTTTGTTTGTAATTTATGTGAAACTGACGAAATAAATTTGTATAAAATGGCGCAGTATAATATAATTAGAATGCTAATTAAAGACTGGTATTTAATGGATCACTTGAGTCTTAGCGACTAAAAGTATGTTAAACAATGATTAATGTCAGTATGGATGAGTAATTAAACGAAACTTAAACACTTCGCTTCGTAAGTGCTTACAATCTGACATACGCCAAAGGATGGAATAATTTAAATTTATCTTTTCAGTATTCAGCCGTAAATTAAATAATTTATAAATAACGAGCTGTTGCCCGCGTCTTTTTCCGCGTGGTATTAGAAAACATACGAACTATATAAATTACAATAAGCTACGTATCCCTCGGGAACTGGACATTTCTCAGGGATGAAAATATCCCATGTGTACTCCAGACTTTGTTTTATATCTGTACCAAATTTCAATAAGATATGTTGAACCGTTGCAGAATGATCGAGTGCATATAAAAAAAACTAAATTAATGAATCCCACGGGAACCGTAACTATTCCCGTGATAAAAAGTAGCCTATGTGTTCTTCCAGACTATGCTCTAAACCTGTGCCAAATTTCATGGAGATTCGTTCAGCCGTTTAGGCTACAAACGCTAACAAACATCCATCCATCTAATCTTTCGCATGTATAATATTAGTAATACTAGTTTTCTCCCGCGATTCTGTCTGCGATGGATTGAAAAAAAAACAAAGATATGTAGCCTATGTGTTCTTCAGTTTACCCTCTACCCAAATTTCATCGTAATCCGTTTAGCATCTAAACTTTCGTATTTATCTATACATATAATAATATTGGAGTGTCTGTTTGTAATATCAAAAGAAAAATTCCAGATTTCAGGAAGATGATGTATTTGCGTTGCTAATAATGAAAATCGAATTGATTTTTTTGTCTGTGTGTATCCACACGCCGCGTTTGTTCCGGCTGGGCAGATTTCTACCGGACTTTTACCGAAGGGTAGCTGACATAGACGGGCATGTTATAGGCTATTCTTTTTTAAATTCCGCGATGTCAAAATGGCGACCGGACCGCTATCTCTGGAACGGGTGGACCGATTTGGACGGGACTTTGTCTGGAAGGTAGCTAGTAGAAGGTAGATGCACGCGGGAATGTGATAGATGACTTTTTTTTAATCCGTGCTAACGAAGTTTGTGTCGGCTAGTTATTAATAAAATGCCTTATTTTCCAGTCCGGAGAACGCGCCGCGGTTGTTCGACCTGATCCAAGTGCGGGACGAGCGCGTACTGAGCGCGTTCTACTTCGCGCTGCGAGACACGCTGGCGGCCGCGGACCTGGAGCAGGCGGCGCGTATCGCGTACGGCCGCACGCGGTACAGGGTCGTCACACTTAAAGGAGATCTTATTGAAATTGCTGGTACGTTTACGGGTTTTTTAATGTTATAACGTAAATTACAAGCCACCTGAATCCATCGAAATAACAAACTAACCCACATCCGCAATTGCAGATACACAATTTACAGCTACAACTAGCTATTCCCGTGTGGCTTCATTCGCATGAAATTATGAACGTTTTATATTACTGTTTACGTTTGTCAAATTAACAATGTCGGCAACTTATGGTCTCTTTCCCACATTAGGGTTTTTACCCAAAATATTTACCTCCTAAGTTTAATGGCATGAAAATATATAGCCTAAAGCTGACGTAAGTGTAAGGCTGTTCATTAAAAAAAGAATTATTCAAAAATATGCTATAATTGCTACCATCTTAGGCAACAAAGAAGTGTGTGTTTACGCTTTATTATAATTGTATAGAATGGAATTGATGGTGGAAGAGACGCTTAGGTAGGGGAAATATCCTCTTTATGTCCGACTCCTCTGTTGATAAGGGCAACGCATCTGCAATTGCGGGTGTATATGGGCAACGATCGCTTGTCTTTCTCGGCAAATGGTCACTCGCTCCTTTGTTACCTTATAGTATAAAAAAACGAAATGTAAACAACAAAATGATGAATGATTTAGTAATTTACGGTAACATCTAGTTATTATTAAAACGCACTAAAATAGTTAAAACCTCAGTGGCTTGTTCTAATTGCTTGCTTGACTTGTTATGCACGGGTCAAAGGTTCGAAACCCGCATCATATGTACATATGTACATAATTTACTCGACGTTCTTACGGTGAAGGAAAACATCTTAATACTGCACTTATCGGCGAAGAAATGTATATGTGTGAAGTGAAGCCGCAGTGCAGCGTGATTGACTAAGGCTTAGTCATCCCTAAGGGTAGGCTTCGAGCCCCTTCGTATAGTACAGTGAGCTGATGATGATGATGATGATGATGATGATGATGATGATGATGATGATTATACTATATGCTCACAATATTTAAGGTACGATGTCCGGCGGCGGGAGGACGACGATGCGCGGCCGCATGGGCAGCTCGGTGCAGCAGGACACCAGCGAGCAAGACCCCCGCCAGCTGCAGGAGAATGAACAAAAATTAACTGAGATAGAGGACAGGTTATACTGGTTATTGAATAACACTTGAAATGTTCATTTTTAAAAGGGTAGAAAGTATCTCCAGGGAATGTAGATTAATTAATTGCAATAATCCAAAAAATATAAATTTTAAAATTAAATAAATCATACTTCGTGCTAATATTATAAATGCGAAAGTTAAAATGTATGGATGGATGTTTATAAGTCTGGAAGATCACATAGGCTACTTACTTTTGTTTTTTACAAGTCCACGCGGACGGAGTCGCGAGCTAAAGCCAGTTAGTAATAGAAAAAGGGTAAAATAAATAATATGACAACCTAGTGACCGCTTTCAAAATTATTTTAGACTTTATTCAAAGAAAAAGTATATAAAAAAATATAATGCATTTGCAATATTTATAATACATAGAAGTTTATTTTGTTTAGATGGATTTTAAAATTTTACAGATTAACCAATCTGAGAGACGAACAAGTGGTTCTAGAAGACAATATACTATCACTGCAAAGAACGACTGAAGTGGGAAAAACAACTCTAAACAAACTGCGTATTGAAGTCAACAGTTTGAAGGAACAAATACCGGTTTTAAAGGTAAATATTCTTACTAAACACGCTTTAGTCTATATATTTTTAGATATAGGCGTTGAGTTAATTGGAAAAATTCTAACGGCTAGATAGGGGCAAAAACTTGTGTTTTGACTCGTGCCAGTATAAAAAAATCTAAAGGTTGCCTTGGTTACTTAAATTCCATCCAATAACAGCAAAGAGGTAAGGTTTCTATGGTTACTTAAATTCTCAGCAAATAAAGCAGAGTCATGGTTGCCATAGGTAGTTAAATTCTAAGCCAATAAATAGCAAAGGCCTGTCATTTCAACATTTTGATATTTGTTATTGAAAATATTACGAAATGTATACAACAAAATAAAGTTAATATACGGATGGTACATGGGAATAGCTAGAATATTATTATTTTGACAATGGAAATTCATTTTTTTTAATCACGCATTCCAGAGACAAATAAAAGAGCAGGAACGTAAAGCTGTCGCGAGTAGAGTAGACCAGAGAGAGAAGGAGAGATTGGAGGCAGTACTCAGTGACACCAAGGAGAAGATGGAGAAAGCCAAGTTTGATGCGGGAGAAGTAAGACATTTTACTAAACACATAATATCTATACAAATATGAGGAAAGATTTGTATTTTTGTATGTATTGTAATAACTAAAAAAACTACTAGACCCATTTCAAAAAGTCCTTCACCATAAGAAAGGTAATCTGTGAGTAACATATGCTTTTTTTATTTTTTAAAATGAAATTTAGTCGAAGACAGGCGCAGGTGAAGTCGCGAGTAACAGCTAGTTTGTAATATTTGTTGTAAAACGATGCAAATATTGACATTTGTTGTTTTTTTCTTTTTTATTGAAGCTAAAGAACTGACGACTTTTCGTTATAAGCAACGAAAATAATATTAGCAAAATATAATTTTCCTTTGATATTACATACAGATATTCCAATCTATATGATGCTATCTGTTGCTCGCGACTTAGCCTGTGTGAGGTTAAAAAAAATGTAGCCTATGTTACTGATAACGTAGCTTTTTAATGATGAAATACTTTTTGAAATCGGCTCATTAATTTTTAAGGTATTTCAATACATACAAAATATTAAACATTAATCTATATAATATTACAGGTAATAATAAAGGTTATACTTTGTATAGTTTTTATAACAATGGAAACCTACTTTTACCTTTTTTTGACCAACTTCCCAAAAGAAGGAGGTACTTAATTCGTCTATGTTTTTTTTTAATAGGTGGAAAAGGAGGTGCACGGTGTAGACGCTCAGATAGCGTCAGTTGCCGGTAACAAGGTGAAGAACTTGCAGGCCGCGGTCGAGGACTTGGCCAAGAAGATAAACAAAGTCAGCTCTGAAATATCCAAGTTAAAAGTCGCTATTAATGCAAGCATAAGGTTGGTTTTTGCTTAACTTTTAGTATACTTAACTATATTAACTTTAGCCCGCGACTCCGTTCGTGTGGAATTAAAAAAAATAAAGTATATAGCCTATGTCTTCATCTAGAGTATCCTCTACATCTATGATAAATTTGATTGTTCTGTTTAGGCTACAAATTCTAACATCCATCCATCCAATCTTTCGCATTTATAATATTAGTAAGATTATACTATCACGTGACTTCGTTTGCAAAAAACTAAAATGCAATTCGTTATATCTGAGATAAACGTTGTAAATTTTACCCAGAATATTTTTGGAGTTACATATTAATGTCTATACATCCAAATTTACTTTATAATAACAGTACTAAAGTTTTTTGTAAATGGAAATTTTTCATGCGCGTGGAATTAAAAAAAAAAGTGATTAGCCTATGTATTCTTCCAGACTATCCTCTACATCTATACGAAATTTCATCGAAATCCGTTCAGCAGTTTAGGCTACAAACTCTAACAAACATCCATCTAAACTTTCGCATTTATAATATTAATAAGATTATGATTTCAGAAACGCAAAGAAATCCAAGGACAAAATAAATCAAATGCAAGCAGATTTTGCGGAAACGGAACGAAATATAACAAGATTGAGTGAACAGAAGAAAACATGTACTTTGGAAAATAAGGAATTACAACAGGAATTAGATGTGGTATTTCTCTAATTTAAATTGCCCTTAATTTTGATATATAAACTATAAGAAAATGTCATAACTCTTACTAGTTGTTGCTAGTGACTTTGTCCATGTGGAATAAAAAAATATAGCCTATGCTACTTAGTGATAATTTAGCTTTTTAATGGTGAAATAATTTATCAATACATACAAAAATACAAATCTTTCCTCTTTATAATAATGGAGTAGGTTTTCGTTAAAAGAGTTGAAACAACATGGTTTTGTTCGGTGTTTTACGGCGAAACTATAAAAAGCTTTAAAATATAAATGGTCCAATTTTTCTTTCATTTTTAATGGTATTTTTTTAACATGCATAGATAACAGAAGAAATCAACGAAGGTTCTGGAGAATTTTCTGGAATAAAGAAAGAGATAGCGTCATTGCAAGACAAGGAGAGCAAGCTGAAGGGAGAGAGACTAGACGCGCACAATAATGTCAGCAAGATGGAGAAGTCCGTAGAAGATGCCTCCAGTAAAATACCTTTGTGGCAGAAAGAGGTACGATAACAAAATTATGTAAAGAAATGTTATAAAATAATAATAATAATACAACGTTCACCTTGTTTTTTAAAATGTCAGAAAACAGCATATTTTTCAAAAATCCTTTTTTTTTTTTTAAATATTAAACTTGTGTCACGCTTTAGTCTAGGTTTTTTCACTCAATTAAATATAATCCTAATAAGGAGATGTACATTTTGGTAAAATCGCATGTGGGAAAGAAACTAAAATTACACGCCAATAGCATAAAAAACAAGGTTGCCATGGTAACGATAATTGTTTTCCAATGTCTTATGCCTTCATTTGTGCATTAAATGTATATTTTTTACACAAAATATAAACATTTTTTTAAGACATGCGGATAAATCCGCATGGTAACTGCTAGTATGCTCATCTTACTTTTTATTGATATTGTAAATGCAAAAGTTTAGATGGATGTTTGTTAGAGTTTTCCACATAACTTGTAAACGGTCCTTGATGGTATTTGACATAAATGTAGAGCATAGTCTGGAAGAACACTCAGGGCCTATTCCACCACTGGCTGATAGAGGCTCAGATAGCTTAAAATTACTGTCAGATAGAGTAACAAAATCAGTTAATTCCATCATACATATTACACGTTGGATTGTTAGATAACAGAATAATTATCAGATGATAATTTAAAAAAAATTTGTAGGACTGACACTAAGGGTACTGTCCATCAAATTTTAATTAGTGAGATCGAGATATGAAAATATCGGATCGGATTGTTGCCTTATCTGACAGTGACGTCATTTTTAAGCTATCTGAGCCTCTATCAGCCAGTGGTGGGATAGGCCTTTTTTAATCCCAATTGAACTTATTTTGCCCGCAGCTATCATCAATAAAGCTAGAGGAGGTGTCTGTGGAGACGGCGGGCGTGGAGCGCTGCGAGCCGCTGGCGCTGCACAGCGCCGAGGAGCTGGAGCTCTGCGCCGTGGAGGAGCTGCGCAACCGCCTCAAGGCGCAGAAAACCAGACTGGGGGACGCTAAACCTAATTTACAGGCTATACAGGTCAATATCAGTCATACAGGGCATCGGAGCCTAGGACACTAGTAACTTAGATTAGTTCAGACCAGTATCATCATTATCATAATCAGCTTTATCATTATTATGATCATCATCATTATCTGATTTATCATCATCATCATCATTATTATCGACATCATCGTCATCACTATTATCATCAGCGTTATCATAATTTTCAATCTTCCAGGATTATAAGAACAAAGAGGATTTGTATTTAAAAAGGGCGGCAGAATTAGACGAGATAACGACGAAAAGGAACGAAATGAGAGCTCTTTACGATCAGTTGAGGAAGAAACGGACTACAGATTTCCTTTGTGGTATGTTCCTAAGATTATTTTCCCTACCCTTCCCTTCTTCCCCTTGTGCTTTCCATCCTTTTCTTGTACGAAATAGTGGAAAGTAGTAAAGGACTAAAATTAAGCCTCTATACACTTAAGGAATCCACATAATGACTGAGTATGTCATCATCATCACCAGCTCATTATATGTCCCCACTGAGGGGCTCTGAGCCTACACTAAGTTAGGGTGACCAGGTCATAGTCAACCACATTATACTGCGGGTTGGTTGACTAAACACATATCTTTGATTTTTTCTCCGATATGTGTAGTATCACGATGTTTTCCTTCACCGTAAGAACGTCGGGTTAATTGTGTACATATGAAAATTCGTAAAATCGAAAATCCACATTGGTACAGCGAGATTCGAACCCAAGACCTGATTACAAGTGAAGTGCCAGCCACTGAGCCACCGAAGTGAATGTACGACGAATTATTAATTATTTTCAGGATTCACAACAATAACAACAAAACTAAAAGAAATGTACCAAATGATTACTTTGGGAGGTGACGCGGAGTTAGAACTTGTGGATTCATTAGACCCTTTTACTGAAGGAATTATATTTAGGTGAGAACTTCTTTGACTTTATTTATGTATATACTAGTTGTTGCCTGTGATTGTCCGTGTAAATTAAAAAAAAAAGTTTGTGTTCTTCTACACTATGTTCTATATTTGTGACTAATTTCAAAATAAATCTTACTAATGTAACAAACATTTACTGCAACCAGTTGTTCTACGTACAAAAATAGATGGCGCCACTTGTATTTTAAAACGCGATGTGGTATTGCATGCGCCTTATGTTAACTCGTTTCATGTACATACGCAATTCAGAAGATCAGAAGATTAGAAAATAACAAATATTGTTAAAATAACTGTCTTCTCAAGTTAGTTCCTACGACGCGATTCTGAATATATTAGCTTGCTGTTTTGTGACTAATTTTATTCAGAATAGCACAGTAGTGTAGTTAAATTAGGTTGCTTGCGGATAGTGACGGCCTAATTTAGCAGATAGCCGCTTGCTGTATTGTGACGGCTATCCGTTGTTTATTTTGAATATTTTTTGTAACTGCGTGTGGTTCCCAACCCGGGGTCCGCGCGCAGACCAACCACATTGGTGTAATAACCAATAAACGACTTTTTGCCGCCTTGTTGCTGTGTTTTCTTTGGCTGTTTCGGCCCAAGATACCCCTGCTCTTATTATACTAATATATGTAAAAGTTTAGATTTATGGATGGATGGATGTTTGTTAATCTCCAGAACGGCTTAACGGAGCACGAAAAAAATTGTCACAGTTATAATAAGCAAAAAATCCCAACTTCTTTAGAATCTCACCCTTTTTGAGAAGAAAACCAAATTAAATGCTAATTTTTCTCGGAAATGTAAAAATGAATACATTTTCTCGTGCAATTGCACTCTCATTGGTCAAAATATGTCGTTTCCAAAACATTTTCTGTTCAGAGAATTGCTAACACATATGTTAAAACTGCCAAATGTAGCGTGTTTCAGAATAATTGTATTTTTTGGTTTTTTCTTTTCAGCGTACGTCCGCCTAGTAAATCGTGGAAGAATATCTCCAATTTATCCGGAGGCGAGAAGACGCTGTCTTCCCTCGCGCTGGTGTTCGCGCTGCACTACTACCGACCGACGCCGCTGTACGTCATGGACGAGATAGACGCCGCATTAGACTTTAAAAATGTATCCATCGTCGCTAATTATATCAAGGTATATTAATAATATAAACTAGTTGTTCCCGTGTCGCTACGTCCGCATGAAATTATAAAAAAAAAAATTATTGTTTACATTTGTGAAATTACAAATTAAAAAGACGAGGAATGACACAGGGACAGTCGCGAACGAAAGCTAGTAATATACAGCGTAAACACACATTTTGTTATGTAGAATTTCAGTAATCACTGCAAATTTTGGAATAATCCTTATTTTTAATACAAAGCCGTACATCTTAAAATGCTGTAGGTTGTGTATTTTCATGCTATTTTATTTAGACGGTAAATAAATGAGAAAAAAATGTCATACGAGACAGACACAAAAACTAAAGACAATAACAACAAAGTAACAAGACCATGGTAATGGTAATTATTAACCAACTAGCTTTTGCCCGCGACTCCGTCCGCGTGTAATTAAAAAAAACAAAAGTAAATAGCCTATGTGTTTTTTCAGACTATACACTACGTATATACCAAATTTCATCGAAATCCGTTTAGCCGTTTAGGCTACAAATTCTAACAAACATCCATCCATGTAAACATTCGCATTTATAATATTAGTAAGATAGTAAAAGCTTTCGTTGTCATTTAATCATACGAATTTTAACATTTTCTTTAAAAACATTTTGTATGTACCTCAGTATTTTGAATTAACTTATTTTTTTCCTCTAAAATTCGACAATAAGAGGGGGGG